AATCTCGGTAATGTGCTTTTTACCCTCTAGCTTTTAATTAACATTTACTCGGTCAAAATTCATTGATCTTTCTAATTGTTTCCGTTGCTGTGAATATATAATATGATATCAAATCTGTTCAATTAACAAATATATTAGCCAAATAATTAATAATAATAATGTACACGCATATTCAGATACGGTGCGAACAATTAGAAAGACTAATGAATTTCGACCTGGTAAAATGTTAAGGCTTCATCGAAGTTTAGTGCACTTCGATCTGTTACTCTCTGTTAAACAAAAAATACACGGTAGTTCATCGTCCCATTTATTCGCCCGTTATTTTTCCCGAATCAAAAACAGTCGCGTGCCGCCATAAAAATCGAAACCGTTCGATGTCGTGTTATTAATTACTCCTCGCTCCATATACCTATCCTTAAGACTTTTTATTGATATTTAGAGTTTTTATTGGATTACGGTAACAAGAACACCTCGTGGGAGCAGACACGGCGGGTGCGCCGAGTAGGGACTATCGCTGTTTCGTCGGTTAAAGCATTTCCCGTGTGGGAATATGGATTTCCGATACGAAACTTTTCAATCCGTTCCCAGACGATAAGAACCTGCCGAACTTACCGCGCCGGCGATACACAGCCGATGCCGTGCGCGCCGCCGATCATTTAAGAATATATTTTATCGTATCCCCCGGGTCAATACAACGACGTGCGACCTCCTTCGGTCATGTTGGTCCCATTTGCATCGCGATAACTTCCATACAAATTTCACTTATACACTCCTCGCGGTCTGCGGCCGAAAAGCGCGTGCTTGCGCGCGTTTTCAAGCGTGAGTGGGGAGTCCGTGTAGAAAATCAACGACCACCGAAAATACCGCAGCAATCCGCAGCATTTTCTATTCCAAAATGTCCGCCTTCGTTCCCGTTTTCTAGTGTAATTTCTAAAAACGCCTGGATTTGTCGGAGAAATTATATTTCTGGGAAAATAAACGAGAAAAAGTTTATGACGCTCTCACGATCGAAAGGGAGGAATTTTCCGTGAACCAGCGCAGAAGTCGCGGGATGAAAGATTTACCTTATTCCGGGAACGATTAATCGTTTACTGGCTTAAAATCATATTTAATTTTCAACTGATGGCACAATTGAGATAACCTTTTCGCGTTTTGTTAAAATTGCACGCGTCAAAATTATGCTTTCGTGTCGGCTAATTCTCAGTTCATCATTAAATTACACTCAGTAATAAGGAAAAGAGTAATTGGAAGTGAAAGGCTTGCTGACGCATTATGCAGAAACTTTGTGGAGTTAATATGAAATCTCTCTTATATGTTACAAATCCGTTGCAAAAAGATTTGTCGTTTTCCAAATCGGTCATTGATCCGCCGTTGCATTGAAATGGGTTGTCGTTGGTTATATCAACATTGCAACACGCGTATTTATGCAATGACACATCACAAAATGATAACGCGATAACGCCGTGCCAGCCATATGCGACGCTTTGACTCCTCGATATTTAATCCTAACTAACCAATCTGTAAAAATTCGCGAGGCGAACTGCGCGCAACGATAACGAATCGCAATAACAGCTGGGCTCGATTACGTAAATCGCAGATGATTCAACGGTTATGTTATAATTATTATATGGCATACGCCGTTTCTCGGATTGAACGTAAATCTTGACACTTTCTTTTGATTTATATCCGAGAATCGGGAATTCTCGTTCGTTTATCTACAGTTTTCTTGCGAAGGGAAAAATTGCCGTGTCAACAGATACAATGAACAATCGGAGAAGGTTAAAATGGTTTTAATAATAACTACGATCTCATTGTGACGTAAGTAAATATCTGTAACTGTAGGCGATCGAAGCGTCATCTCCCCTGATAGAAATTTCATCCCTTTTTTTTTATAATAAAAGTTATTAGATAGTTTATTAACTTCTGTTTAGTAACTGATAAATAAAACTTGGGTTCCTAATCAAGATATAATGCTTTTCCTGCAGTTATTACGCACAAAAGATGCGCAAAATCTGAACCCATTTACTGAACGAAAACAGAACAATAGATGGACAAGAAACTAGAAACTATTCATTTGATTAATAAGCAAGCCTGCTGCTCATGAAATGGACGGTTTTGCTCTAGAAGCATCCCGAATAAAACTGTCAAGTTTTTGCCCATATCCAGCATTGTTACAACTAATGAGAATACATTAATATTAAAAAAGAACGGAATGAGTGTCTAGAAAAATTGCATATATTTCTGCCAGGTCTTGGCGAAGATATAGAATAGTACTCTTTCGCGGAAACCACGAGTCTTCATCGAAAAGTACGTTTCAGCCGTTCAGCCGTATACACTACCGCGATACTCCGGTATCGATCTTATCAAATGCAGAGGCAGTCGAAAAGTTATTGTATATGCTATTGAGATATATTCAAAGCCCCGAATTGATAGTTTAAGAAATGAAGCCGCATATATATCTCTTTCTTTCTCTGTCTTTCTCGCGAGCGACGTTCCTCATATAAATTTGTGCCCGACGCACGAAGGAAAAATGCATTATTTATCCATACGTTCGTGGACGATACCCTCAGGGAGGTTATTTCATACATCCTTGAATTTCGCGGATCTTTCAAAATTGCGGCCCCGTCTCTTCGTGGATATTTATTCCTCGAAATAAGACAACGCTCATGGCGGTGAGAGTAACTAGCAGTTGTGTCGTAACCAGTTTGAACGCCGTGAAAAATCCAAGCGGATATGTCGCACGAAATGTCATTTTTTTTTCTTTTTTCCAGAAGGCAAGGTAATTCGCGCACGGATGGAAGAGAAACGTGGACGGGAATAATTCCTGGCGCGATTTCACGCCCGTTTGAATATCGACGCGTTCGCATTTGTTTTCTTCTTTTTTTCTTTCTCATTCGGCGACGTGTAAATAACACTTGGTGCCGTTGTACTAATGCTATATTGTTGTCACAACATTAAAGTTCTAATTGGTCTGCAAGACCAATTTCTTATAAATATGTATCTTATAAATTTTGCTGTGATATTTTTGACGGAGAAATTTATGGAAAAAATGTGATTAACATCCGGTTTTTCTTTTTTTCAAATATTTATTTATATATGAAATATTTTATGGCGAATATTAGTAAATATATATATATATATATATATATATATATGTTTATATTGTCTTCTGTTAATAACGACTTGTGTTCCTAAATAATGGTTTTATCGATCTTTTCCGCGAATATTCAGAAGAAATAAATATTTACTACCTTTGTCGGGGGTTATTTATGATTCGACCCAATACATAAGACATGCTGTTGACGCACACTCACAACACACACACACACACATACACACAACATATTGTTTGCAGGATATAAAATTATGACGGAAACGCGTATTGAATTTTTTCGAGTTGAGAAAAAGGAAACACGGCGTGTTTCGTGCGTCGAACCACATTGTGCAATTATTAACCACCAGTAACGTCGAAAATAAAATAATAGGGTTTGTATTCTCTCTCAAGCGCGTACCCTTTTTCCTAGACAGACAGGAGCGAGATTGGAATGCCTCGTTGTACAAAGAGGTATTTCATGAATAGCTGAGGGCAACCTGCCATCCGTGGAATGAAAACATTTTTGTCGAGCTGCTATAACGAGGACCACGTGAACTCGTTATTTCAACGAACACGGAACTCGCGGGGAAAATAATACGATTCTTTGCCAANGGGGGGGGGGGGGGAGTAAGAGAGAGAAAGAGACAGAGAGAGAGAGAGAGCTGTTCGATCGTTTTACACCTCACCGATCACACGTCTGTACTTGACCTAGCATTGCGGAGAGTTAACAATTGAGGCCGATAAAAGCTGACGAAGGCGTTAAAATTTAGTTATTACTTTCCGTAAATACCTTACAAATAATCTTTCTCTACCGGAATCGAATAAATTCGATAGTTGCAAATACACTATATAAGAAGAGTAATTTTTTATCAATACTCATTGAATATTGTTTGAATATTATTATTATTGCACAACTTGTTAAAGGACATGAAAAATAGATATTTTAAGTGCTCGAAAGATCTAACAAATACAGAGTGTCTTAAGGCTGAAACAGATCACCCGTCTTTCTTTAATAATCGATTTCTTTTCTCGTAGCTGTGCCGCTGGCGTTAGATACCATGGAGCTTAGATTTCCAATGATATCACTCAATTTTGCCCTCGCAGTTAGTTTTACAGTAGGTAAGGAATAAGCATGATTATGAAGAGTCACATAATACGTGCGGAATTTCAGGAAAAATGTTCGAGAGATGAATTTTCATACGCGGGATTGAAACGCCTCGGGCCAAGTGCGTTCGGTAAGTTTCGAGGGTGGAGGAAAATATTTCGCGTCCCTGGAGAATTAAGTTTGAGATTTATAACTTATCGCAAAACAGACGGAGTCTACGCTAAACGCTCAGGCAACCCTCAAGTGAAAATCGCTTGAACGCTCAATTTCTCTTCCCCAGTATCAAGGGAAAAAACTGGCTTACGGTCTTCTCCTTGACAGACACGATGTTGTATTTCAAACTATAAATTAGCATAATGGCTAAACGTTTTATTTGAACGCGCAAATTGAATTTTTTCATTTTCTCCTCTCTCTCTCTCCCCCCC